TGTTTTTAATGTAAACTTGTGTGTGAATGAGAACTTAGTTTATTACTCACATGCTGTGACAGCCGCTTTCTGTCCGTGTGCTTCGGATGTGTGCGCTCAGAAAACCGTATATCAGATGTCTAATCTCATATGGTTTAAAACGCATGATTTCAGCGCGATAAACATGATAATCAGAACCAGAACAAATGTTTTTAGCGGGTACGAGCTGTAATGACCAGCTCTATTCTGGAAAAGGGGGCGGGGAGCAGCAGCTCATTTGCATTTAAAGACACAGGCCCGAAAAACAGCGTGTTTCTGCTTCCACTCAAAATAGATATTTTCAAAATGATATAATAAATGATCTGTGGAGTATTTTGAGCTGAAACTTCAGACACATTCTGGGGACACCAGAGACTTATATTACATATTGTAAAAAGGGGCATAATATTTCTCCTTTAATGCAGTACACGTTGCAATGTTTTTTTTTTAAAATTATATAATAAATAAAAAGAAAACCGATAGAATAGAAAAAGATTAGAGCAAGCTAGTGTTAGAGGCCTTTTTGTTTTTGTTTATTGTATAATAAATAAAAAGAAAACAGATAGAATACAAAAAGATTAGAGCAAGCTAGTGCTATTTTTTTTAAAGAAAACAAGCATTTAGTAAATGAATAGAGTGCAAGTCTAAAAGGGGCAAGCTTTTTTAAATTTTTTTTATAAAGAATATAATTAGAATAGAGAGTGCTAGAGTTAGAGGGTCAAATAAAGATGGAAGAGATGTGTTTTTAGCCGATTCTTGAAGATGGCTGAGGACTCAGCTGCTCGGATTGAGTTATATAAGCATTAAAAATAAATACATAAAACAATATTGTAAAGAAGGTTTACCTGCTTAGATGAAATTAAACACCCTGCAAATAAAAAAAATTAAATTCACTACATCCAAAAATATGAAAAAATGCTGCAGGGGTGTGAACTCAATGAATCGGTGCTCTTTGGACGCGGGATTCTTTTAGGTCATCAAAAAAACTCACCAATCCAAGGCACTCGAAAATATTGTGAAAAAGTAAAAAGCCTTTATTCACATGGCTTTAACATTAAAAACAACACACGTACACTGACGCATTGCGGCTAACTCGCCTTCATCATGGTGTCCTAAATAATAAGCAATATAAGCGCCTTGCCCAAATTTCCCCCTTTGCTTATTTATACACCTTTTACACATATGCTTAACTGCAGACATTGAACTATGTGGTCCAGTACAAATATTTTGAACATCCCTTATTTTCTTACCAAGAATTATAATTGTCTCTTTTCTGAAGTTGGCAACTCTCATAATTTGGGATGCACCTACGTTGAGACATGACATTTAGTTTCGGTAACTGGTGCAGAAAAAAAAATTGCAGCACAACTGAGTGCCTATGGCAAAGATGGCAGACTTCAAATCTCATACTTCTGGGGGTTCTGCATGTGGCAGCAGAGCAACTGGTATTGAGAAGCACGGAAAGTTTTCTCCAGATATTACAGACCTTCTTGCTCCATCCAGTTTTTCAGGTTAGTACTCATCCGGTGTTAATGCTCCCGGGAATAAAATGAACAGGTCTCAAGTTAGTTTTGAAAGTTGAACTACTAAGGGGACATTTAAACTTTCTAACTTGATTTTTGGGAGCTTTTCTTTGGATACTGTTCTGTTGCACAAAAAAAAAAAACCCGACAAACAACCCATGCACACTCAATTTGAAGAAAAGCATTTATTTTGTGAGCTGAAGTTGAGCAACTTTGTTTTTAAGTTGAACAGAGAAAACATTTCAGGAGATGGACAGTATATGAATATATAGGTATCTCAATTCAAAACTGGGCTTTGGAAGATATTTTATATCTCCATCTCTATACAAGTGAACATAAACATGTCCAAAAAAGAATTAAAACGGTTTTTTTTGGGGAGGAAGAAACAAAGCGATTAAGCTATGTTTTGCTTAGCAAATAAAGCGAGGAGCTACAATACTTTTAAATATTTATTGCCATTACATCTTAATGAGACGGGCTAAAGTAAAATGTTGGAGTTTGCCTGACACAACCAGCAGGTCACTGAAGCACCATCCTCGTCATGGACTGTTGTCTGACCGTCTAGTCATTTTTCATGCAGCCCTTAAACACGGATGCTGATGTTTTTCTCTTCAAAATCTTTGCAAATATTTCCAAATGCTAATATGATTCAATCTTTCCACTACCGTAGTGTAGCTGTGCTGTAACCAGGTCTCTCTATGCTTTTAAAGTGCCCTTATTATGGGTAATGAAAGGTCCATATTTTGGTTTTGGGAGTCCCAACAACATCTTGACATGCATGCAAGGGCAAAAAACACTTTCATTGTCCTATAATATGCATTCATTTTTTACCTTACTTGCTCAACGACTCCCAAACGATTCGCTCAACGATTCATTTTTCCAAACCCCTCCTTTGCATGACGCTAATCTGCTGTAATTGGTCCGATTGGTCTCACTTTCATTTCATCTGGCCTGTAACGCCTGATAAAGCAGCGTTTGTGAGCGCAGTGCTGCTTTGTGTACAGCGTTACCGGGGAAACAGCTATTTTACCGCTCCAAAAGCGGCACCTAGTGGCAAAAAATGATTTCGCATTTTCATTCAGACCAACGCAAAAATAAACAACATTCAATTAGTGTTCACAACATGTTTTGGAAGTAAAAATCCATTTAGTTAAAAAAGGTTTATAAATTGAAAACGATTTAAGACCATGAGCTCATAGCTTAAGTGACGATATGTGCTTCTGCAGAAGACTTGAGAAGCCATCGTCATGTTAGAAGGAATTGTGGTAATATGATTCAATCTTTCCACTACCGTAGTGTAGCTATGCTGTAACCAGGTCTCTCTATGCTTTTAAAGTGCCCTTATTATGGGTAATGAAAGGTTCATATTTTGGTTTTGGGAGTCCCAACAACATCTTGACATGTATGCAAGGGCAAAAAACACTTTCATTGTCTTATAATATGCAATGCAATACCTTATTTGCTCAACGACTCCCAAACGATTCGCTCAAGGATTCATTTTTCCAAACCCCTCCTTTGCGTGACGCTAATCTGCGGTGATTGGTCCGATTGGTCTCATTTTCATTTCATCTCACCTGTAACGCCTGATAAAGCAGCGTTTGTGAGCGCAGTGCTGCTTTGTGTACAGCGTTACCGGGGAATCTAGTGGCAAAAAATTAATTTGCATTTTCATTCAGACCAACGCAAAAAGACCAAGTGGGAGGGCAATATGCTAATGTTTCATGTTGAGGTCAGCATGAAACGGCTTGGGATTCGTTTTAAAAACGACTCGTTTCAATGATTCAGAGTTTCTTTTGAGAGACAATAACTTTATACACGGTGCACTTTCAGATTAAAAATTTTGCAGGATGTTTTCATTCACTTAGAGCTGTGTTACACACTGCATGAAAGGTAATTTTCAAAAATCCATAATAGGGGCACTTTAAAAGACTTGTACATGAATCAACTTCAAACATGCTGTAATTTACCTACAGACAAGCATGTTTTTGCATCAAATTAACGTCATGATTAAACACAAGTAGCAAAAGATCTTTTTTTTTTTTTCATATTGTGATGTACATCTGAATGTAATGGATAGTTGAAAAAGACAAAACTGTAGGGGGGGGACTTGGTTCTGTCCATCGGTCATTGACTGGATTTGGAGGTGTGGACGCTGCGCTCCAAAATAAATGCGAGCTTGTAGTCAATTGTGCAGTCAAGGCTTTAAATGATTGGGGAAGTCCTGTACATGTCACCAGAGAAGTCTACAATTTCATCAGGATGACGGAGTTATGACATTTAGGCTAAACATTACAGTCTCAAAAATAATAAAAAAAATACATATATTGATAATTTGTTCATAATAGATTTAAAGAGCTTTTTGGTTTGGTTTGACTCAAAGTCTAGAACTGTTTACTGAAAAACGTTTAGAAAACTTGTACATGAATCAACTTCAAACATGCTGTAATTTACCTACAGACAAGCATGTTTTCGCATCAAATTAACGTCATGATTAAACCCAAGTAGCAAAAGATCTTTTTTTTTTTTTCATATTGTGATGTACATCTGAGTGTAATGGATAGTTGAAAAAGACAAAACTGTAGGGTGGGGACTTGGTTCTGTCCATCGGTCATTGACTGGATTTGGAGATGTGGACGCTGCGCTCCAAAATAAATGCGAGCTTGTAGTCAATTGTGCAGTCAAGGCTTTAAATGATTGGGGAAGTCCTGTACATGTCAACTGACCTGCGATTGCATATTAATATACAGGACTTTCAGGGCTGGACTCGTAAATATGCAATTACTAAAAATCAGTGTCTCCAATTTTAAATGTAGGCAGAAAAATTGTTGGCACAAAACTGTCTTTCAGAAATCTGAATGTTTTTGGAAGTCTTGTGTGGCCCTTTTTGTGTATTACTTGTAAATAACATGGGTAAATATGGCTGTTTATTACTATGCATTTGTGCTAGTGAATATATAAAAAAAAAAAATTCTTCCTTGTGTTCATTCAGTGAATAAAAGGGTTGGAAACAGGATCATATTGCAATCGGTCTTTGTAGAAAATTTGTATTAACCAAATATGAATCAATCAAGCATTATCACTTTGAATATAGCCATTTATGTATCAAGTTATTCTACTATTATAAGTATGTATTTGCCTGTGTGTACAGAGGCCTCCAGAAGAACGGAATGTGCGGCCATTACAAAAATATATGGTGAAGCGTTCACCTTGTATTTTGACAGACAAAATATGAGACCACCCCTGATCTACTTCATATAAATTGAGGCCTTTTGTCAACAGATTGGTGTCACAGCCAAAAAAGGTAAAAGTTAATAAACAATAATGGCATGTGAAACATAATTAAAACTGTACTGCAGGGACTCTTGGCTTCGTTATCTCTGGCATCAAAATCCCAAGACTTTCGAGAGTGATTCATCACTCACAGAAGCCCCCACATCTTCTGAAGACACTTACCATGGCTGAGCAGTTGTAATAATCTTTATGCGTTGGCTTCCATGGCTTCAGACATCTCCAGCAAAATCCATGATTACATTTGGCACACGTCATGCTACACGAAGAAAAAGACATAAGGTATACACTTAGTATTAAAGTTAACTGTTACATAGTTCTTCAATTTAATAATAAATATGAGACATTTGTGCATGCACACTCACTGTAGGCAACCCTCATTCTTCTCAATCTGGGCCTGGCAGCTGGGGCATCGTTTGGATATAAGTTTGGCCAGATGTTTACTCTGTGCTTCCATACTCATTCCCTCATAGTAGCCTCCATCATCCATCCACTGAGACATGTGACTGCAGCTGGCTGGGTAATGCGCCTGATGATTGGACAAGAGAGATCACTGAAGCATGAGTACACAGATTACACCGCACAGTACAGGTGTAAATCTCAACCATTTCAGAAAACCAAGGCTTACTCTTAAAGTTAACTGTAATTAACGTAATTCCCTCCTAATTCCCATTATTCACAGTGAAGAGTAATATCATGCAGTACTTTCTTACTGTTTTACAGTCAAATAAATTAGTGCAAAAGAAGTACAAAATATGTGATAAAATATGTGCATTTGTTTATTTAAATAAATTATAGTAAAAGCCATTAACTATAAATAATTTGTAAGTATGTGCTACATTGTCACAATGCAATGCTAAGCATCTTAATGGTCCTAATACTGGCCCAAAGTAGGAAACATTTAGGATTTTCTAATATTTTTGAAAGAAGTCCCCCATGATTATCATGGGTGAATTTATTTGATAAAAAAAAATTATATATATTTTTAATAATTTTAAAAATGTATTTATTTATTATTTAAATGTATTATTTAATTTATTCCTGTAACGTAAAGCTGAATTTTCAGCTTCATTACTACAGTCTTCAGTGTCACATGATCCTTACAAATCATTTTAATATGCTGATTTGCTGCTCAAGAACAATTTATTATTATTATCAATGTTGAAAACTGTTGTGCTGCTTAATATTTTTGCCTATGGTACACTACCATTCAAAAGTTTAGGGTAAGATGTATGTTATGAGAGATATTTTTCAGATAGATAGATCTATATTAGATCTTTCAATATTAATAATAAGATTCATTATTGACAATTCAGCACATCTGAGCAGCAAATCAGCATATTAGAATGATTTCTGAAGGATCATGTGACACTGAAGACTGGAGTAATGATGCTGAAAACTCAGCTGTACCATAACAGGAATAAATTCATAAAAAAAAATCATAACTATTCCAAACTTCTGACTAGCAGTGTATAGGCGTTTTAAAACTTTTTTTTTTTTTTTTTACTACACAAAATGTATTT